AAGAAAAAAAGGTAAAATATATGCCCCGCCCAGCCACCCTGTCTCTATTCTGATGATTTCTTTTATTCCACTTAAGCAGAGGGGCGGAGCTTAATTGTAAAATGCTTATTTTTCTACGAGAAATTACCATATGAAATATGTTCTTAAATAATCGTGTTATACAAAGAAAACTAAATGTGTTAATTCATAAAGAAAACCTAAAGAGAAGCCCTACCCATCCGTCTCGATCGCAATCGTGATGAATTTTTCATTCGTTGTGAGACCGAGGGGTGGGGCTTAATTGCAAGATCCATATTTGTCTACAAGAATTTACCATTTTAAACATGTTTTAAGTTTCTTGTTCTGATAAAACGAAAACGTATATTAAGAAAAAAGGCAAAATATCAGCCCCGCCCACCCGCTTTATCTCAATTGTTATGATTTTTTTCTAATCGTCGAGAGCCAAAGGAGCGGAATTTAATTAAAAATCCTCATTATTTCTCTACAAGAAATTACCATGTAAGACATATTTTTGAGTAATGTGTTATTCAAAGAATACTGTCTATGCTAAGAAAAATTTAAAGCCAAAGATTAAGGCCCACCCATACCTGCCCTGATTTAAATTGTAATGAAGTTTTCATTCGTTGCCAGACATAGGGGAGGAGCCTAATTGCAAAATCCATATTTTCTTACAAAAATTTACCATTTTAAATGTGTTTCAAGTTTCTAAGAATAATAAGAATCATAACAATTGAGAGGAACTGGGTGGGAGGGGTAATATTTTGCCTTTTTCTCTTAATATACATAGTATTCTGTGAACAACACGATACTCAAAATCAGGTTTTTAATTTCTTGTAAAGAAATAAATATTTTGCAGTTAAGCTCTGCCCCCTTGATTCACGGCAAATAAAAAAATTGGTCTAAAGAGTTTAGACACTACTTCCCTCGCTGTCGGAAACGTGGCGACTGCATGTCTATTATGTTTTTTTTTCGCAGTAGATTTCATTATTTTTTTTGAGTCACCCGGTATATGCAAATTCAAAAAATATGAATGGAATAATAAATTACAAGTACAGACTCATCTATTTTGTATATTCTAGATAGGATTTGTTCGGTAAACTTTTGAGGTGACGTCATCAGTTTTTTGCAGAGGATAACCAAATATGTTTTGACTAAAAATTTATTATGCTCTTTATAACTTTAAAACATTTGCAAGTTTTCAAAACATTCGGTTCTGGAGTTCTTGATTAAATCAATAAAATACATTTACCCATTCATTAATTTTTTTGGGTCACCCTGTATATGCAAATCCAAAAACTATGAATGGAATGATAAATCACAAGAAAAGACTTACTATATTTTGTACATTTTAGATAGGATTTATTCGGCAAAATTTTGTGGTGACGTCATAAATTTTTTAGGGGGGATGAGCAAATACATTTTGATCAAAAACTTACCATGCATATGATAACTTTAAAACACCTTCAAGATTTCAAAGCATTCGGTTTTGTAGTTTCTGAGTAAATCAGTAAAATAAATTTACGCATTCATTAATTTTTTTGAGTCACCCTGTATATGCAAATCCAAAAAATATGAATGGGGTGATATATCACAAGCACAGACTCATCATATTTTGTACATTTTACATAGGATCTATTTGGCAAACTTTTGAGCTGACGTCATCAAGTTTTTGGAGGGGATAACCAAATATATTTTGAGTAAAGATTTATGATGCTCTTTATAGCCTTAAAACATCTGCAACATTTCAAAACATTCGGATTAGCAGATTCAAAATTAAATTGCAAAATATTGTTGTATAATTTTGATTTTTTTTCCAAAAATCTGGACGTTTCGGGTAAAAACTCAATTCGGAGTCGTAAACTACATGTTTAGGACTATATTATTTTATACAATGTAAAACCCATTTACTATGTACAATTTTGAAGTGACGTCATCGCATTAGTGGTGGGGATGATTAGACAAATTTTGGTTAGCGTTTTACCATCTACGTGATATTCCTAATATAACTACGAAATTTCACAACAATCGGACAGACGGACAGACGGACAGACGGACAGACGGACAGACGGACAGACGGACAGACAGACGGAAATGGGAGACCTATTTCTTCGTCTTCTAGGGGTCATGAAAGATCGAGAAAACGTAAAAGTAGAGAGTCGGCCGACGGACTCGATTACAATACTTCCTTTGCTTACGCTCGGGAAGTAAAAATCATCACAATTGAGACAGGGCGGGTGGGCGGGCTTAGATTTTGTCTTTTTGTTTTAATTTGTGCAGATTTCTTTTCACAACATGAAACTTAAAATATATTTAAAATGGAAAATTTGTATAAGGAAATATTGATTTTGCAATTTATTAGCTAAAATGTACCATTCTAACCATGTTCTAAGTTTCTTATTGTGAAAATATGGCTATGTATGTTAAGAAAAAAAAGGTAAAATATAAGCCCCGCCCACCCACCCTGTCTCAATTCTGATGATTTTTTTTATTCGACGTAAGCAGAAGGGCGGAGCTTAATTGTAAAATGCATATTTTTCTACGAGAAATTACCATATGAAATATGTTCTTAAATAATCGTGTGATACAAAGAAAACTAAATGTGTTAATTAATAAAGAAAACCTAAAGAGAAGCCCCACCCATCCGTCTCCATTGCAATCGTGATGAATTTTTCGTTCGTTGTGAGACCGAGGGGTGGGGCTTAATTGCAGGATCCATATTTGTCTACAAGAATTTACCATTTTAAACATGTTTTAAGTTCCTTGTTCTGATAAAACGACAACGTATATTAAGAAAAAAGGCAAAATATAAGCCACACCCATCCACCCTATCTCAATTGTGATGATTTTTTTCTAATCGTCGAGGGCCAAAGGAGCCGAATTTAATTAAAAATCCTTATTATTTTTCTTCAAGAGATTACCATGTAAGACATATTTTCGACTAATGTGTTATTCGAAGAATACTATGTATGTTAAGAAAAAATTAAAGCCAAAGATTAAGGCCCACCCATGCCTGCCCTGAGTTAAATAGTAACGAAGTTTTCATTCGTTGGCAAACGAACGGGCGGAACCTAATTGCAAAATCGATATTTTCTTACAAAAATTTATCATTTTAAATGTGTTTCAAGTTTCTAAGAATAAAAAAAATCATAACAATTGAGAGAGAGTGGGTAGGGGCATAGGGTAATATTTTACCATTTTCTCTCAATATACATAGTATTCTGTGAAGAACACAATACTCAAAATCAGGTTTTTAATTTCTTGTAAAGAAATAAATATTTTGCAGTTAAGCTCTGCCCTTCTGATTCACGGTGAATAAAAATATCACCACAATTGAGATGGGTGGGTGGGCGGGGTTTCTATTTTACCTTTTTCTCTTAAATCACACAGTATTCTTTGAACAAAACGATACTAAAAACATGTTTTTAATTTCTTGTAAAGAAATAAGTATTTTTCAGTTAAGCTCTGCCCCTTGATTCACGGCGAATAAAAAAAATCATCACAATTGAGATAGGGTGGGTGGGCGGGCTTACATTTTGCCTTTTTATTTTAATTTGTGCAGATTTCTTTTCACAACATGAAAATTAAAATTAATTAAAAATGGAAAATTTGTATAAGGAAATATTGATTTTGCAATATATTTGCTAAAATGTACCATTTTAACCATGTTCTAAGTTTCTTGTTGTCAAAAGATGGGTATGGATATTAAGAAAAAAAGGTAAAAGATAAGCCCCGCCCACCCACCCTGCCTCAATTCTGATGATTTTTTTTATTCCACGTAAGCAGAGGGGCGGAGCTTAATTGTAAAATGCATATTTTTCTACGAGAAATTACCATATGAAATATGTTCTTAAATAATCGTGTGATACAAAGAAAACTAAATGTGTTAATTAATGAAGAAAACCTAAAGAGAAGCCCCACCCATCCGTCTCCATCGCAATCGTGATGAATTTTTCATTCGTTGTGAGACCGAGAGGTGGGGCTTTATTGTAAGATCCATATTTGTCTACAAGAATTTACCATTTTAAACATGTTTTAAGTTTCTTGTTCTGATAAAACGACAACGTAGAAAAATGGCAAAATATAAGCCCCGCCCACCCGCCCTATCTCAATTGTGATGATTTTTTTCTAATCGTCGAGAGCCAAAAGAGCGGAATTTAATTAAAAATCCTTATTATTTCTCTACAAGAAATTACTATGTAGGACACGTCTTTGACTATCGTATTATTCAAAGAATACTGTGTATATTAAGATAAAAATTAAAGCCAAAGATTAAGCCCCACACATACGTGCCCTGATCTAAATTGTAATGAAGTGTTCATTCGTTGCCAGACATAGGGGAGGAGCCTAATTGCAAAATCCATATTTCCTTACAAAAATTTACCATTTTAATGTGTTTCAAGTTTCTAGGAATTAAAAAAATCATCACAATTGAAATCGGGTGGGGGGCGGGGTTTATATTTTGCCTTTTTTTCTTAATATACATAGTATTCTTTGGACAACACGATATTCAAAACATCTTTTTAATTTCATGTAAAGAAATAAATATTTTGCAGTTGAGCTCTGCCCCCTTGATTCACGGCGTATAAAAAAAAATCATCACAATTGAGACAGGGCGGGTGGGCGGGCTTAGATTTGGCCTTTTTGTTTTAATATATGTAGACTTCTTTTCACAACATGCAACTTAAAACATGTTTAAAATGGTTAATTTGTATAAGGAAATATCGATTTTGCAATTAGACTCCGCCCCATTATTGCAAAATCCATATTTCCTTGTAAAAATTTACCATTTTAATCATGTTCTAAGTTTCTTGTTGTGAAAAGATGGCTATGTATATTAAGAAAAAAAAAGGCGAAATATAAGCCCCGCCCTATCTCAATTCTGATGATTTTTTTATTCGTCGTAAGCAGAGGGGCGGAGTTTAATAAACCGACTATTATTAGAACATAAATTAAAAAACTAGATTTAATAACTATTTATGTAAACGTTTTTTTTTTTGCAGTTACCTCCTCTGCATCAAGCCCAAAAGGTCCCGCTGCAACACCTGTCAAGGGCAGCACCAGGCCACAACCATGTCGTACGTACCTACCCGTAGAAACCAATCCGTCTGTAGCCGCAAAAGTCGCGGAGTTTCCATCAACCGCCGGGACCCCGTCATCGGCCAAGAGACTTCGATCACATTGCTAGGAAACGGAAACGGTCATGTTTGCAGCAAAATGTGAGATATTTGTGTTGCTATTGATATTACCCACTCTGGCAACAAAACTCCGGCAACCCGGAAATCCCCTTTGAATGGTCTGCCTGTGAGTACTTTAAACGGAGCTGTGAGAAGTCGTTCGAATGAGTGTACATAGTCAGTGTTAAACTTAAGGGAAAGAATTACACTTAATAAACTGATTGTTATCTGCATGTAAAATATCGATGTTACCACTAAGAAATAAAATGTTTTCTAGTAGTGGCACGCGTGTTTTTGTTCGACCCTGAGCCATCCCGCTTCATTACGTCGAGCTCTCCGACTCCGAGGGTTGTAAATAAGCTCCCATTTGTTTTGTTTTTCCACGAGGGTAAAGTTCAGGGGTTGCTCGTATTATGCTCATATTTAAAACAAACTGTCCCCTGTGCTTAACATTTGGCTTATTTATTGACAATGTTCGCAATTTGTCTTCTCTTGTCGGTGTTATTTCGTTAAATAAACCAGGCGGAATGCTTGTTTCAACAATGAAATTTTTTCTTGTGTCTGATCGATGAATAGAGACACATAAAGCGGGGTTTAGTTAGCTTTGAACGTTTGTTCTGCCAAATTCTAGCGTTTTTATTGGAGCTTTTGCATCGGAGAACTTTCGAAGCTTTAATTTTACTGCAGCGCTATCCCCGGACAAAAAGTGGGAATAATGGATTCTGCAATTCTCTGAAGATTTCTTTCGTGCCGCCGCGTAATAAATCTTTGTTTCACGCTAATTGAGAGCTTTTTTTGTTTTTCTCGCTAGTTTTATAACTTGGGAGTATCGGATTAAACGAGCACTTGAGTTCTCTGAGAAATTAAATTCTCGTAAAAACAACAGAAGTACGAAATTATAGTGGTAAGTATCACTCGTGGTGTGTTAAAAGACTTTTTACACACTAGTGCAGTAAAACAAAAATTAAAAAAAATGTCTTTACCTACTATTATTTTATTAGTTAGGTGGAATTGGCTATTTTCGCTTTTTCTTTTCTAAAAACGTAATTTATTTATAAATACCTTAGTTGTTATAACCGCCCCAGCAAGTTATGAACTGGTCGTCACCAATCCCAAGCAAGCAATAAGATCTCTTGGATTAACCAACTTTAAAAAACCTTCCAATCAACAGGTGAGCTTGAGCTAGTACTTGCTAAGGTAAGTCTTATTTTGACAGATGACGTATCCTCTGAGAAAATAGAGGCGGGTGGGCGGGGCTAGAACTTGCTCAGATAAGACTGATTTTGGCAGACGGAAACGAGATACGACTTTTTTCGTATTCTAGAGGTCATGACCCGTCGAGAAAATATGAAAGTGGCAATTCGGCCGATGGACTCGATTACTTTACTCGTTAGCTTACGCTCGGAAAGTAAAAACTTTAACTTTAACAAAAAAGAAAACAGTCAACAAAGATCAAAAATTAAGTAAGCCGTTTTTGGATTAATCAATAAAAAACTGCTTCGTTAATTTTTCGAAACACCTCTATAAACTATTTTAAAAAACATGAATACACCTATAAATCACAAGTATAGTCTCACAATACTTGCTTATTTTAGGTAAGATTAGTTTAGCAAAATTTTGAAACGACGTCATTAATTTTTTTAAGAGGATAAACAAATAAATAGTCAAATAGTAAAATGTTGTTATTTACTAATTAAAAAGGAAATGTTATACTACACTATAAAATTAAAATTGGTTATATTTCCCAGAATTTTGAGATGACGTCATCAATTTGTTGGTGGGAATGAGGACCCAAAGTTTGTTCAGCGTTTTACCATTTGCACTATTTCCTAAAACATCAAAAATTTCCGAAAAATCGTCAACAGACGCCACACAGACGAAAACAGACCCATTTTTGCACCCTCTAGGAGTTATGAAACGTCCAGAAAACATTAAATTAGCCCTTAACCAAATGGCTCATATTATAATACAAGCCGAAAGTATTGTGTGGGGTCCATCTGGCGAATGGTTACTTTCATGTTTTCTTGACGTTTCATGATCCTGTAGTATGAAAAGTAGATTTGGCGTTTCCGACAGTTCGTCGTCTGTGTCGATTTTTTAGACAGATGATCTCCAAAGGTACAGGACGAATTGTTGTTAAATTTTGTATGTTTGTTACTTTGTTAGGAATATTGTATAAACAGCAAAACGATAACCATTTTTTTTTTAAATAACATACACCTGTACTTGTGGTTCATGAAACCGCCTTGATATTTCACCCCACACATACAGATTTTGGCAAAAAATCCAAATTGTACACCAATTTTCTGTACTAAGAAGAGTATCAGAAAGAGTTAGTCGTCCTAGCCCAGTTCAGTTAAGCGTTGTTTTACTAATGTGAAGGTCCCGGGTTCGATTCCGTTGCGACTTCAAATCCCTTCTAAGATTTTTTTTCTTACAGTGTGGGTGGTATTATCTACAATTTTATTTCCCCAGAGTAAACTAAGTAACTGTTGTAATAAGGTGCATCGGACAAATGGGTACTTTTATGTTTTTTCGACGTTTCATGATTCAAGGGTATGGAAAAGTAAAATTAGCGTTTCAGTCAATTTGTCGTCTGTGTCGATTTTTTAGACAGATAATCTCCAAAAGTATCGGACCAACTGTTAAATTTTATGTGCTTATTAGGAATATTGTGTAGACAGCAAAACGATAACCATAATTTATCTAATCATCTCCACCAACAATTTGATTACCTCAACTCAATATTTTTTATATTAAACCATATTCATTTTTTTTAAATAACATACACCTGTACTTCTGGTTCATGAAACCACCTTGATATTTTACTAATTTGAAGGCCCTGGGTTCATTTCCGCTGCGACTTTGAATCCCTTATAACAATTTTTTTCTTACACTGCGGCTGGTATTACCTATAGTTTTATTTCCCGATAGTAAGCTAAGTAAGTGTTGTAATAGGGTGCATCGGACGAATGGGTACTTTCATGTTTTTTTGACGTTTCATGATCCTAGGGTATGGAAAAGTAAAATTGGCGTTTCAGTCAATTTGTCGTCTGTGTCGATTTTTAGACAGATAATCTCCAAAAGTATCGGACCAATTGTTAAATTTTATGTGTATATTAGGAGTATTGTGTAGACAGCAAAACGATAACCATAATTTATCTAATCATCTCCACCAACAATTTGATTACCTCAACTCAATATTTTTTATATTAAACCATATTCATTTTTTTTAAATAACATACACCTGTACTTCTGGTTCATGAAACCACCTTGATATTCTACTAATTTGAAGGCCCTGGGTTCAATTCCGCTGCGACTGTGAATCCCTTATAAAAATTTTTTTCTTACACTGCGGCTGGTATTACCTATAGTTTTATTTCCCGAAAGTAAACTAAGTAAGTGTTGTGATAGGGTGCATCGGACGAATGGGTATTTTCATGTTTTTTTGACATTTCATGATCCTAGGGTATGGAAAAGTAAAATTGGCGTTTCAGTCAACTTGTCGTCTGTGTCGATTATTTTAGACAGATAATCTCCAAAAGTACCGGACCAATTGTTGTTAAATTTTATGTGTTACTTAGGACTATTGTGTAGACACCAAAACGATAACCAAAATTTATCTAATCATCCCCACCAATAATTTAATGACCTCAACCCAAATTTATTCATTGTAAATCCTATTCAATTTTTTTAAAATAACATACACCTGTACTTGTGATTCATGAAACCGCCGTGATATTTTACCCTAAATATTCAGATTTTCGCAAAAAAATCCAAATTGTATACCAATTTTTATACTAAGAAAGCTATCAAAATGTGTTAGTCGTCCTGGCTCAATTGATTTAAGCATTATTTTACTAATCCCGAGTTCGATCCGCTGCGACTTTGAATCCCTTATAAGATTTTTTTTTCTTACACTGTGTTATTATTATCTATAATTTTATTTCCCAAGAGTAAACTAAGGAAGTGTTGTTGGACGAATGGCTACTTTCATGTTTTTTGGCATTTCATGATTCTAGAATATGAAAATATAGATTTAGCGTGTCCGCCAGTCCGTCGTCAATATCGATTTTTATTAGACAGATAATCTCCGAAACTACCAGACAGATAGTTGTCAAATTTTATATGTATGTTAAAAATATCGTGTACAGGGTAAAACGCGAATCAAAATTTTTCTAACCATTCACACGAATAATTTGATGACGTCGTCTAAACAATCTGCATAGTTACGGTTTTCTAAATTTTATGAAATAATATACATCTATACTCGTGACTTATGAATCCGCCTTCATTTTTGTCACAATTAACTTTACAATTTGTTGTACAATATTTTCTACCTGGTGCATGTAGCCGATTTTCCGCTTCTTTAACAAACGCTTCGTAATCGAGTAGGATTGATACCTGATTCTCGGATTTTTCGCTATAACTTGTAGTATTGTATTTTACTTACAGCGGTTATCATTAAATAAATAAAATATAGAAAGTCAAATTTTACAATTTTTTCGAAAAAACTGGAATTGTCCGATTGTATTTAAGGGTAAGTAAGAGTAACTAGAGCAGAAATTTAAAGAATCATCGAGTAGTTATATACAATATATGCTTCTGAGGGGGTCAGTTTCTGTTACTATTTTCCTGTGGAATACATTCATTATTATTTACTTGCTTGATAATTGAAACATCTTGGTGTCGATTTTTCTTTAAGCTTGGGATCTCAAGTATGGCTAGAAAATTAAGTTGAGAGCTTTCATGACAACTCTGGCAGGGTTTAACGTGGGAAGGTTCGAACAAATGATTATATTGGGGTTAACCACACTTCCTGGGAATTACATCAGATCCGATCGGAGTGGAAGTGGTTGTCTCTAATAATAATCATTCCTTCGAATTTTCCGACGTCAAACTGCTTCATAGATGACGCAAAAGCTCTCAATTAAATTCTGCAGACATAGTAAATAGTAAAATAAGCGAAAAATCCATATCAGTTAGATTAAAACTTTTCGTATTAGACTGAAGATGAGACCCGCATAGTCCTCAAAACAAGTAGGCACCATTGAAATTTCTTCCACCAAAACTCCTTTTTATTTACTAAAACATTCTCTCGTGCTTCGATTGCAGACACAAATAGTTAAAAACCGCTTAAACACAACATTTCCATTACACCGCTACTGGAAAACACAAAACAAAACCCCAAAATAAATAAACCCCGGAATTTGCCCATCACAAGAGAAAACTAACCCTCTCAACTAAAG